AGGAATGCTATTCAAAAGACTGTTTGCAAATGGGCTTGATGTGCTACCAAACATATTCCAATAAATGTACCCCTATCCTTTATCAATACTGCTTTCAGCTGAACTTAAAATGCCTTTCTCGGGAACTAGTTCCCCTGCCTGTTGGGACACAAATTATTTTGTAAAGAGAGTAGAGTTCACAGAGCTGGCTCCATACAGAGCATCTTGTTACTCTTCTAACCAGGCATCTTTCCAAGAGTCTGACCCCTTCCAGCTTGTCAGGGAGGAAAGCGCAGCAGCCAAGTGAACTGTGCTTGTAGTGGACCTCCCAAAGTCACACTCTGATAAACCTTTCATAGAAGTGGATCAGGTTTCTGCCTCTACTTCTGACAGTGCCTGAAAAACACCAGAGATGTACCTCTCTGCATCAGACTTCTCACACTTATCCGGAACATTCATCTATACAATGGCCAACGGAAGATGCAAGTCACACTGGTTTTTGCAGCGGGATCTGTTATCTCAGACAAGCACAAAGAGACCTCCCCTCCTTCCAAACGCTACAGAAATGCCAAAAAAGTTTGACTCTAAATTGCTTTTAATTTGGTTTATCCTGTATAAACTCTAATTGTTTACAGCTTTTGGAAAGAGCAAGATGGGAAAATAATTTAATTGGGCTTGCGAGACAATCATAGGGAAATGCAGCAATGGGAAACCTTTGGATTGCTAGACTTTGTAAGTAATTTATACCCTGGGATTCTGGAATGCCAGGCTCCAGGGATCTGCATTCACCCACGATCGCTTCCTACTGCTTAAAAGTGATGACAGGGCTAGGATGCACACCTGAGCATGAAATTCTCACAGGGTGCTATGTGAAGAAGATATAAAAAACCAGAAAGGGTTTCTCTTCTTGCCATCAACACACAACTCAGTCACAATTTATGTTTTTGTGGATTCAGGCTTTTGAAACAAAGTTCATCAAAAATCCATGCATTTGATTTTGACATTTCCAAAATCTAACACTCATGTTTGTGAAACAGGAAAATAACATTTCATTTCTAACTTAGAAGAATAAAATAGCACCAAACAGTCCGGTTTAGGGCAACGTCTTTTTGGCGATATGTTTTTTTCTTGTTTGTGACTTAGCCCATGAACAGAAACTTGTATTCACAAAGTGCTGCTCCCTGGGAGTCATCAATTCATCCAGCATGCCATCTACAGCAATTTTAAAAGCATAGCTTTTTGAGCCTTCAGCAGAACAATTGCTGCACACCATCAAGCTCCCAATGGCGCCGGAGTCCTGCCTTCGCTGTGCAACGAATTCCTTCTCTTCTTGCAATCTTCTCCTGTACCCACCATACAAACTTTTTAGCAAGTGAGGCCACAAGTCTACAGACAACAGCCTCCTTCACTAATCAAACAAAAAGCAGAAAGCCAATCATATTTTTCTGAGGTGGTCTACAGAAAATGTACACCCCTAAAAACATGGCAAACTGAGTCTGGTGATGAAGTTTGTGCAAGATGCTGTAATACACACTATAGAAAATTCAAATTTCACTGAAGACCGCGACTTTCCAGAATTAGCACTCAGCACTCCCTTTCTATTTTTTTTTCTTTCCCCAAGTAAAAGATCCCTTCCTCATACACTCCCACTTCAGATTTCTTCTTTATGAAGACGTTTTCCTGAAAGACTTAGGTCTGTAACAGAGTGATTTACCGTTGGTACCATTAGTCACGCAAGCCCTGGGTCACAGGAGATTTGTACACCTGATTTCTGCACAGCTTCATCATTATTCAGCCTAACAGGCCAATTTCTCTTAGACACCTTTTGCACAGGCATTAGCCGGTGTGTTCCACTGCACAATGCTCAAACACTCATAAAAAGCGGTTCCATACAACTGGCTTTTGCGGAACCCACTACAGATCCTTTCAGGATACACTACGCAAAAGCTGCTGCAGAACTTGGCATACTGAGTAAAGTGCTTCCAGAAGGAAAAGCGTGGCTGCACATCCCAATCCTTCTTCTGCATTCCCCCAGAACCTAATTCAACAAGACACACGCCCAAACTTTGACACAAGTGCTGTTCTCCCCACGCGTCCATCTCAAAGAACAGGACTGTCTTTAAATAAATTAGCTAAATAACAATAATGACATTTTAAAAGTCTGTTTATATTCAAGTCACACAAAAAACTCTTCAACATTAAGGTTGCAAAATTACACCCTCAAGAAATTGGGAGGTGTCAGAATGAAGATTACTTCTCTAAACTCAATTCTGCTTTCCTGTACATCTGTATAAAATCATTGGTTAAATAAACATTAAAATACTACCTTCCTCCTTGTATTCTTCATTTATTCAGTGCACAGTTTGATGCTGTGAGCAGTTATTCAATATTTAGTTTTCTCTGCAGTGTCTGACTCCATCCTTTATTTATTCTTCTGAACTTAAAATGCTTAAATTTCCTTTTCTGTACTTTCATCTCATGTGAAGAAACAAATTTATTTCTGCAGCACCCTAATGAGGTATGGGAGTACTAACACTCCACTTTTACAGACAAGGATCTGAAGAAAGCACTTCCTAATTTTGCATACCTTGGATCTCAAATTGCTTTAACAGAGAACTTAGGAATTCTGCAATTCAGCCTTCTGGGTATCAAGCAGGACACCCAGTAAATAAGGAGCACACACATGGTGACCACCCTGCTCCAGGTACCTCCCTTACAACAGAGGAATCCTGTGGCAAAGGCAGGGAGAAACTTAGTTTCTCCAGAGCAGCATCCTGCTCCCTCACCCACGGGACAGTTTTTCTTTGTCTGCAGCTGTGCCCCCTCCAGCCTACTTTCACAGATTGTATTCCATGGATTGAACAGAAAGAAAAGACCTCCAACACTTGCAGCATTATTCACTCCTAGTTCCTATTCCCGGTTCGTCACAACTCTCTTATAGACTCTGTATCAAATCCATCTGTCAGTCCTCTTACTCTCATTTATTCTCGGTCCTTGAGAATTCACTGAGATTGTTCCAGCCTCAGACCTCCAAATTGGATGAATTTCCTCCCAAATATGAGCAGGCACATTTCTGAAACATAATCTCTCTTACTAAAATCTCATGTTTGCCCTAGAGATGGAATATTTACAGAAAAACAGCCCCTTGTCCCAACAAAAGAAGTCTACAGTACCAATATTTTCATATGGGAAAACATTTTTCTTAGTCACATTCTCATAAGCAACTGAGCCTTCTTGGATGGAGTTTTACAAACAATTCAGTCACACACACATAATTTGGTGACTCAATCATTAGAGTCCAGCAAAGCTGTAAGCAAGGCAGAGTAGGGTCTTACAACGGGGGAAAAAAAGGGTCACCTTTAAAATGTTAGCCATCATTTAATAAGTGCACCTTAGATGTAAACACCGCAAGATAGTTCTACATAAATATCATCATGCCATTTCATATGTCAGTGTAAACACGAATGGTTTTCTAATGTCAAGTCTTTCCCAGGAAAAGATTCTCGTTACTTGCCATTTAACGCAGCATCATGCACATGCACACTGATGTAAAACAATACAATTCCAAAAAATAGATTTCACACATTAAACTTCCAATACATTCTTTAATTTCATGAAATAACATGTCAAATTCAGTCTAGGGAAATCTTTAGCTCTTTCAGAGTATTTTCAAGCAGCTGACAATAACTGATTTATTAGTGATAAAGGCCCATATTAGAATTATATACTCATGGGCTAAGAAAAAGGTGGTATAGGCAGCTGAGATATAAAAAAATATTACAGAAGTTCTTACAAAAAGACCTGAAAAGAAGCCTGGGATGAGGAGCTGTGTTTTCCCCCACGTCTTTAATTCTGCTACTGTAACTTCCCTTTTTTGAAAAAAGCAACAAGTTCAAATGTGTTAGAGGGAAAAAGGGGGGAAATGCCCAAAACAAAGCCTCAACCTCAAGTCGTGTATTTATCTTTAATGAAACCATTAAGAGAACCAAACAGAACTGGGATTATGCAGCTTTCTGGAAGCCTCCTTCCGTCTTGGAAGGAAGAGGAAGAGTAAGAGGACGAAGCATCTTCACAAAACCAATAATGATAATGATAATGATAATAATAATATAAGTTTAGTTCAATTCCACATTTCCTGAAGACTTACTCCCAGGCAGACCTGTTGCTGCCAGTGTTCGCTCATACCACCCTGTGCAAATTCTCACAGATAACTATCTCCATTTTTGTCATTTCACGCCATTATACTTCAGCGTGTGATTCCTCTCCCAAATAAAGCCTTCTTCAGAAAGGAATGGGTCCAACAGCCTTCACAATAACAGCTGTAATGGCTTGCTGTGACCGAGGTTCTCCTTTCCTTTGCCACTGTTTAGAATAAAAGGAAGTGGAAGAGTGACAGATTCTGTAAGGAACAAGAAGTTTGGAGAAGATCGTTTATTAAAAGATCTTGTTACCACCTTAACCCTTGAAGTGTATACTTGCACAGCACAAGTAGTGTCTCCATGGCAAGCTTTTATTACAGTCTTGTTAAGAAACTGTATAATTGATTTGACTGAGATGAATTTGTTGGGAGTCTGACAGCAGTTATACTGCTTTCCACTCTCTCCTCCTGCCTCTCAAATTAGAAGTGGAAGCTCAAAAAGATGACTCTGGATCCACCACCAGCTGCATTCAAGTTGTTTTTTGCTGCTTTACTCCACTG